ATCATGTCTGCAGTATGTGTTCTAGAGTAAGTACAGTTAGTAGTGATTCCACGTGTTCCATCATGTCTGTAGGATGTTCTAGAGTAGGTACAGTTAGTAGTGATTTCATGTGTTCCATCATGTCTGCAGTATGTTCTAGAGTAAGTGTACAGTTAGTAGTGATTCCATGTGTTCCATCATGTCTGTTCTAGAGTTGGTAGGGATTCCATGCCTTCCATCGTTCCTTTAAATGAAATAGGTTTTGGTATGTAGGTTAGTGTTAATCAAGAGTTGAGGGGCTCAATATGGTTAATTAGCCATTAATTAGCCATACCTATCTGCCCCCAACCCCCCCCCCCCAATACCCCTTTACTATCATCTCCATCCCCACCCCTCAATAATGGAATTTTGTCACTTTAATCTTAACAGATCCAATGACTCAGTGTTTGGTGATGAACAAGATGACTCTTCGGCTGGGAATACAGAAGAAGACTCTGTGGGGGATGGCTGTCCATTTGGTGAAAAAAGATCCAACTTACTGTATCCTTAAGCTCTTAAGTTCGTAAATTCTTAAGTTAACTGTACTGAATAATCAAGGTATTTTAAACATTTTTGTCAACTACAAACAATTAAATATTTCAAAAAACAATCTCTTTGTTCTTGATGAGAATAATAATACAAAACACAAGTCATTTCACTATAATTTCCTGGATCTCTGAATCACCTAAAATCTTTCTCCTGCGAAGGGAGAAAATTAAATGAATGTTATTCATGACGCAAGTTGTCGCATAGCACTTATATTTCTGCATTGAAATATAATTATAATAATTAATACCGTCAAAATATCACCCTAATGGGTGGGGGCTTATTAGAGGCTGGGGGCTTTTATAATTTATTTTTTGGTGCCTCAGACTGGGGCGTTGAGAGGCTGCAGGCTAGAGGACCCATAGTTGAGAGTGCTATAATCCATAATATCTTGGCTGTATTCCTTGACTTAAGTAAAGCTGCCATCTGCTCAGCTACCCAGTCAACGATGTGTTTATCCAAGACAGCATTAAAAAGATGAACTCTTCTCAGGTTATGGTAAGTTGTGGCTTGTTGCAAGTCATATCTACATTTAGATAGACCTTTGTCTTTGTTTTAATGGGTTACAATTTTTTGTACTACTAAGAAATAAATACCTGTGAACAAGAACTGGATGCAAAACCCCCCTCCCATCTCAATCCCCCTCCCACCTCAAATCCCCCCTCCCATCTCAAATCCTCCCTCCCATCTCAGTAGTATAGGGCATACCACTCCTGCTTCACCCCACCAAACACAGGCTTTTCCCACGTCATTAAGATTCGCGTAGTAAGTAAACTTCAAAATCATAGTAATTTTTAAATTACGACCCTGAAGACTTACCGCGCTGACGTAGCGCTGTATTTGCCGGGCGAAGAGGTGCGACATGCTATGTTAAAATATCGCTGTCATATATGCATAGGTGTGAAGGTTTTGTGAACGGCTTCTGTATAATTTGTCTACAACCTAAG